AGTCTGAGGTTTTGCTGCTGGTGATTTTGGCCTTCTCCATCGTCTGCATGTTGTTTCTCCAGGTCTGTTTGTACCTCTTGCCGTGCTCACTGTCTTGGCATTCAAGGTTGAATTCAGTGCTGAAGACGTTACACAGCTTGGCACCATAACCGTTGCGACCACCAACGGTTTTCTTCTCGTCGTCGTCGAAGTTGGAACCCGCCAACAGATGTCCGAAGATAAGCTCGGGAATGTAGATCTTCTCCTTTTCGTGAACAACAATAGGAATACCCTTTCCGTTGTTTTCGACGCTGATAACACCGTTCTCACGATCGATATTGATCTTCATGTAAGTCATGGAGCCATCGCGCTGCTTATTGTCGGCAGCGTTGACCAAGATTTCATCAAAGATCTTGTAGAGACCAGGAACAAAGCTGACGTTCTTGTACTCCATCAACTGGGTCTCTTTGCTCAGAACCCACATCTGTTGTTCTGTCCTCTCAACAGAGCCGATGTATGTATCAGGACGCTTAAGGATGTGCTCTAGTTGTGACAGCTTTGTGTATATTTCGGTGGCCGTCTTCTTCTTGCCAGGTTTGGCGGGGCTGTCAATCACCATGCTATCATTCTCGAGCTCCTCCAAGGGCGCACCAGAAGACTTGCTGACTGCAGGCTCCTTCTTTTGCTTCTTAGCTTTGGGAGGTGTGTTTGAGAAACCCGAGGCAACGCTTATATCATCGTCGTCGCTCTCTGGTGTTGGGCGCTTTTTGGGGGCGCTCTTCGTTTTCAGGGTTGTTTGCACCATCTTTTTGACGGGCGGCCGCGCAGCAGCCTTCTTTGGTGCGGCTTTGGGTTTCGCCTTCTGTGAAACGAAATGTTAGGTTTGTTTGTGTAAAAGTGCAGATACGAAAGTGTTCGGCGGGGGAGGTGTTTGGTGCAAATAATTCTGAAGCAAAAGATTGAAAGAATTGCGATGCATAAAGAGGAAAAGGAATAGGCATACAATGTGCAAACCGATTTATTGTGCTAACAAAAGAGGGGTAACAAAGGATTACTTACGGTTTCAGGGACATAGCCATCTGACTCCTCCCCAAGACTGAACATGGACGCATCGGAGTCCATCTTGTTGTTGTTGGCAGTGAGGGCAAAGGATCTGGCTTGTGGCGCCAGGACAGGATTTAAGGACAATAAGTTTGAATACAGGGGTCTCAATGAGGGACAAAACAAAGACAACGAGGTCAAGAATGGAGGACGACCAGGTCGAGCGAGTGGTGATGCCCGCGTACAGAGTCGCGATAACAAAAATGAAGAAACAAAAGGTGCCAGACTTCCCATCAACAGTTAAAACAGTCCTACCTTATTATGTTGTTGTGACAATCAAGGGTCCCTATTGTAAACAAATCTTACAGGGACGCGACGTTGGCGACCCACTTCCGCCCGTCGTGGGGCCGCGCATATATGCCTCAGGCCAACTACCTCTTGCAAACGCCAGACCCCGTGACCTGGCACATGATATTGTAAAGTGGTGTCAGTGGAAGAGACGCCGAGTAGACCAAGGTCCTAAAGGAAATGGCCTTGAATTGCCGATTGTTTACACATTTCTTCTTGACGCTGGAGTTCCTTGCAAAGAAAGTCGCCCTGAAAAGTCTCCCAGGTTTCAGGAGGAGACATCAATTCGTTTCTGTCAAACCCGATACTCCTCGCCTCACCGGTTCGCTCAAAGACGGGATGAACTCAAGGCTCCCCTTACGCAAACTTACTTTCGGCTCAATACCTCCCCAGACCAAACAGGCTCATATTTTGATTAAGATGGAATGAAAACATCTCCAGAACAAATGAAAGGATAGCAAACCATTGCCCACCTCGTTTGATTTAACGCTTCGGCTCGTGCCACACGTGCCACAAATCTCCCAGAACAGGAGCTTTCCTCATAGAAATTGCGGCAACTTGAAAGGCATCCGAGGCCGGCCCTCTTCTAGTGGTATCGCGGTCGCTTATTCTCCGAAAAGAGCCTGTCAAGCTCGAAGTCAGACATGCACCGGTCTCAGCCTGGGCTAAGCGGGCCGAGTCAAAATGTGTGACTTAGGATGAGGGCAAGTGTCTGCCAAATGCCTGTGTGTCTCCATGGGATGAGCCTACGAGACTTGTTTATTCTCCTGGTTTCACCATATTCGAGAATAACTTGACTGAGGCGGACCGTATCACCACCAGAGGACTCAACGAGGCATCGACTGTCGCCTCATCGCCAGACCAGCTTACAGCTCGTTACGCCTGCTATAGCATTCGATAGGCACCTTGATTAATCATCGTGTAGCATCGCTGAAAATGTAAAAGTATGTATTCTCGCCATGTTCTGATATGGTCTTTTCACCAGGCTCAAGGCCGGGATTCTGGCTTCTACCCATGTGGTATGGCCAGTGCCGCATTTCATTCCTTCGTACCTTGTGAGGCTGGATTCGATCAAACATCTGAAGTCCTCAAATCCAACCACAAAAGCACTGCGTCTCTACACAACACAGCTATTTTACGCGGGCAGCGAGACTCATGCCACACCAACGGGGGAGGAAGAACGGTGACACCGCCCGAAATTCGATGCAGGGAGCCGTTTTGTGTCCTTGGCTGCGCCTGGTGCAAAAGAAACGCTAACTCGCCATGGACTGCCGCTGTCATACCGCTCCGAAATCGTACAATCATCTGAAACCAAGCTCTGAGAACCAAGAAGGAATTCATATACTCTGATACCGATTTGGACAATCTGTCGTTTCCAAATTCGTCAAAGCTCGGTCCGATAAGCTTGGTCATGTGCCAAATATGCTGTTTATCTTTCAAAACTAGGTACGGATGTCATTCTGTCCGAATCAGGAAGACCGAGATACCCAGACAGTGCCTCAAATGCCCAAATGCTGCAGACTAAGACGGTGTTCACTCAAGAAACGCCATAACCCGTTGTTGGGCCCTGCCTCTACCCTTTCTGCAACTCCTGGTTGACTGGTTACTCCCTTCTCAGTGACAGGACCATCACTGGCCATTTCGATCAAGTGGACAGAAGACCCGACCCCGGAACAGCGTCGCTGCCCGAGCCGTCGGCTGGTCGCGTCAGATGCCATGAATTTCGCGAGACAGCGATAATTGCCAAAGTGTCATCGAATTCAACCGGAGTCTCATGCCTACTCATGACAAGAGAGGAGAATAAACTATGCAATAACGTTATGGTGGCTTAGGTCATTGACATTGTATTTCAGAGATTGGGGTGCAGTCATATTACGCTAGTTGACGATATGGAGGGCATAACACCCAACAGGTCCTCCAGGCTCTCTCTCACCGGCGCAGTCGTAACCTGAATCAAATGGTAAATGAATGGCAAAGCGTCGATAGCTACTCCGCGGGCAGGAGGGGCAAGCGTATTTGGCATAGGCTTGTGTTCCCTTTCGGGGAATTTTCTTGTGCCTGTACGCCTAAGAGCTCGTGAGAGTAACAAAGGTCAGAGACATGACAGGTTTGTTTCTGGCTTCACCGCGATAGATCATATGAGAGGAAAATTTACCAGACTGACTTCTGGAAGCGCCATCGAACTCTCATCAGAAACTTACCACTGATGTAGTATGCAACGGCTATGCACAGGTCTTTGGTCAGAGTAGAGGGACCCATGAAAGGTATCCCTGACAAACCGTCGCCACCTCATATATTTATTGACCGTAGAAACAGGAGACACATCTGATAGGCCTGTTGGCCATGTTGATGTGCAAGTCGTCTCAGTAAGGAAGCGTGCCCCTTCTAGCTGTCAGTTGTCATACTGACACGTGGGGGCGACTCGAACAATTCTGAGGGAGTGCTGAGATGAACAACAGAAGCTCAGTGGCAGCAGGGCCGCTGTCTCCTGTTGTACAAATATCAGGAAACAGACTGGGGTAGAAGGTCCTGGACGATGTGGTATGCAAGCATCCGCCTGTACTTCATTCTGACTCTGAGCCCGTGGGGCGGCCTTTGAAGGCGAGACAACCAATTCGTTATTCTTGGTTCTCCTTCGCGGCTCACAGTTGAGTCTTGATCTCCAGCCTCCAGACTTCACCAGGGAGTTGGCCATTCAATCAATGAGAGACGAACTGCAATATTAATTAGACGAAGCCAAGATCGTGTGGTGCCCTTTGGAGTTCAGAGCAAAAGCGAGGATGTATCCGGGAGTGTAACGGACGGCACGGAGTGAAGGCTGACCTATCCACACCCAACAGTTCCAATACGCACCCCTGTTGCAGTTCTTTCTGCCTTATGTTCCTCCTAATGCGGAGGGGAACTCTAGAGGCTATAGAGGAGCTGTTTGATAAAGCGGGACTCTGGACTCAAACATATCAACTACGTTAGGTGGATGAACAAAACCATAGCAGTAGGACAACGCAACAATACGTTCCTATTCATCAAAGTCTCTGGAAACCTCATCCTTGCATTTCTCCCTGGGCTTCAAACTGAGCCCAATTTCTTTTCCTATATCGTTAACAGCCTGCCCCGACATCGTTCCGTCATCTATCACTTGGTGGCTGTTCCTAGCATCTGCTAGCACCAGGCGGTGGGAGCTCGTCAACGGAGCTCTAGCCCCTTGGAAGCCGGTATTGAGACTGAAAGAACAAAGAAAACATAACGAAGAGTGTCGGCCTGACCTAAACAAGGCGTGACCGACTTTTTGGAGTTGCAGGTTCCCGAGCAACTTTGCTGGCCGAGCCAGCTCAGGCTAGGGTTCCTCACCAGCGCCTATTTCGGTACACGCAGGCATATTTGCCGTTCCCCAACTTGTTTGCCAAGCTGAGGAGTGACTTTAAAGGCGAAGAGTTTCCTCCAGTTGTAGTGTTGCGGCTGTCTGTCCTTCCCTGCAATCCAGAAGTAGTTATATCACGGCCGCTGCCCGCTGTACTATCCAAACCACTTGGTTTAGCCATCTCTTTACGGCCAAATACCTGGCCGCCTGCATCTTTTGAACATCTTTACATCTCTCAAACTTCTATTTCCGGCAAACTTTACTGGTTTTCATCATGCTGTCCCTTAAAGGTCTCCTGAACCCAGCACCAGCTGGAGATAATGATTCCCCCTTTCCTCGACCAAGTCTTGCGCTCGAGTTTCCACCAATCCCGAACTTCGAAGAAGCATCAAATCAATTTGCGAACCGTTTTATGATGGCTTCTGATAGATCTGGGCCGAAAGAGGCTAACAATATGGCCAAGTCGAAGCTGCGCGGTCCAGTCAAGTTTCACCCTTTCGAGCGTCTCGACGAGATTACTTTGCAAGAGATACACCGATTCCGAGTCAAGCCATTCGGGAATATCCAGGATTCAAGCCTCCACATCCCATACAACAGTGGCAAAAAGGACTTTTACGAAAAGACAGGACGAGAGAGCTTCGAGGGTAAGTAGCCAAGTCTAACTTCGATCACTAGTTACTGACTCAAGCCTAACAGTTTTCAAATACGAGTTCACATTGGCTGAACAGAACACTGAGTACGCTGTGATGTGGGACTATAATGTCGGGCTCGTTCGCATGACCCCTTTCTTCAAATGTCGCGGCTACGGAAAGGCAAGTAAAAGAACAAGTCTCGATAAATATATACTAACTGCCAATTGGAGTAGACAATTCCGGCAAAGATGTTAGGCCTCAACCCAGGGCTCAAAGAAATCACACATAGCATTACTGGAGGCTCTATAGCTGCTCAAGGTATGTTCCATCCATCAGCGCCTTGTGTTCGTTTGCTCATCAGTCTACGCAGGTTATTGGATGCCATACACATGTGCCAGAGCTGTCTGCGCGACCTTCTGTTACTCTATCGCGGGTGCCTTGATCCCAATCTTTGGCCCAGACTTTCCATCTCTCTGCATTCATCCCAGCGCGCCTGACTTCGGCCGCATGGTCATCAGCCAGCAAATAATCATCGAAGCTACCCATGAAGCCGAAATGACTCGGCGTATGCATATGAGTACGATCCCACCTAGCTTCCACTGCGCTACGAGCTATCCGAGAGACGATCGAAGTATTCCATCTGGCATTTACGCCCAAGACGAGCGCCGCCATCGATTCCGACCCCGTCTGTTCTGTGATCCTTCGTGGGCCATGGATAGCGACGTCGAATGCCATTACATGTCAGCTCCCAACTCAGCCTCGAGTAGCGGCTCGGGACTCCCTGGTTATATGGTGACTTCTCGTCCGGGATCTAGCTGGACCGTTGCGAACCAGTCTAGCCCTGAGCCTAATCCCTTGCTCAGTGCGGTCCCTCGCATCCCACCTCTGCAGAATGAAGGCGCTCTCTCGTCTGCGCCATGGGGACCTAAGAGACGACTGGAATACGAAGACTGGGACAGCTTTTACAGAGAGAGTGCCAGTCCCGCCATGAGCCCGAGATCTATTCTTATGGTTTCGACCCCTGACGCTAGTCCTATGAGGCAACGAGTGATCAAGACGCCACACAGCGTACCTGATGCGGCCCAGAAGGACGCAGCTATGCTTCTCTTGAACCTCAGGATGCAGGACCAGGCGCCCGCTGCTCCCAACGCCGTCGAGTCGCCGCCTCCCGTTCAATTGCAGCCTGGGTTCGAGGAAGGACGCCGCAACAAGAGACTGCGAGCCACTTCGTTGTCCAAGTAACTATGACAGAACGGGGAATGGCGCAATGGGTTTCTATCGACAAAGGAGTCTTTGGGGGTTATAGTATTAACAGCGAATAGAATGGAAAAGTTTGGACACTTGGGTTCACTCAATCGCCAGTATCTGGTGGCATCTTGATCATATCATAACGGCATATAGCACATCATTTAGGGCCTAGGAATCAGCAATCGCAAGTCTTTAGTTAGTACACGAAGATCATTGTAAAACAAAGTAACTTTTTTATATTCTTTCTTACACCAATCAGCTTGTCTCTCCCTTTTCAGCCGCTCTCTTTGCCTTGTGCTCCTTTGTCCATGCCTCTGCCTTATCCTTGGGAACGACAAAGATCCTCACCACCTCATCCACTACCTCAACCTTACCCGTTCCCAAAACCTTCAGCAGCGGCACCCGCTTGCCCATCTTTAGGAGGCCACCCTGTGTAGTTTCCACAAACGCCTCTACACCTGCTGTCGTGTACACACCCTCCTTGTCCCACGGCAGAGGGAAGATATAGCTCAGATGATCCTCGAGCGAATGTGTTTCCTCAAACGCCTTGATGAAATCAGACTCCAGGTGTAGAGGGTACAGCAGTACTGTTGGGAACGCAAGCGTGCTGCGGGGATCATCAGGATCTGGGAGGAGCGCAATACCCGCATCTTCCATCTCTGGTGGCTGAGAGGTTGTGCGTGTGGGGATATTTCTCGCTCGCAGTGCGGCTTTGATGAGAAGCGCACGTCGCTTCTCCTTTGCTTCGCGCTCTGCGTCCCTCTTTCGTCGTGCGTCGATCTCTTTGGCTCGCTTAATGATATCGTCCGCTACAGAACGCAAAGAAGCATTGTTTTCATCTAATGAAAGACCGCGTGCACAAACATCATCGGCCTCCTGGATACGGTCCACCGCAAGGAGTGCTCGTGCACTGCGGAAGTATGCCTTGATGTTTCGCGGGTTGAGACGCAATGCTGCAGCGCAATCAAGCCAGCAGCTGCGGTAATTCTTAACAGCAAGGTGGCATGCTGCCCGGTTGACGTAGAGCGCTTCAAGAGTCTCGCGTTGCTTCTGGATCTCCTCCTCAGTGTCGATTACGCCCTCCTGGTTTTTTGTCTGCTCGCCCCTGGCACGCTTGCGTTCTTCGCCAGCGAGAATAGCAATGCCTTTTCCGTAAAACTCCTTTGCATCGGCGTAGTTCTTAAGTTTGAAGCACTCGTTTCCACGCTCTTTGAACTCCTGGCCGTTTTCAAGAGGTGTGCCTTCATACGCGAGTGCCTGCAGTGCTGCAATGTCTTCATTTTCCTCACTGGCATCAAGGTCTGTCATGAAAAGGGGCGACTTGTTTAGATCCTCCCATACTTCATCAACAGTCTTTCCGCTAGCGATGGTATGAGCTGGTGGCAGCTCAGGTTTGGTGGCATCTGTGGCGCTGGTATTAGGCTGTGGTGAGGCCTGCTCCAGCTTCATGGCCTCCTCCAATTTGTCGGTTATTTCCTCGATTTTCATTTTTGCCTCTTAGAGCAAATGAATCTGCCACTGTTGTCTTCGAGTCAGGACTACAGGTTTTGTGGTGAGTCTTACACTTTAGATGTGATTGGTGGGTGGATTCAGAGTGACTCGATTGCTAAAATTTGAGCTTCTCCAACTTTAGGGTGGGTGGCGAAAATTCTATTGGGCATCACCTACCTTAACTATCACGACTCGGGATTCATGCAGAGGGAGCCTGTTTCGGGGGTAAACTTCCGAGATTCAGTAGGTACCTATGTCATATAACCAACCTAGGGGCCAACCAAGATATATCTCAACTTATGTAAATCTGTCTATCACTTAGGATAGAGATACTAAGGTTTCTTACACTGTCTAGAGGGGCCACTGACTATCGCACGAACAACCAAATATGGGCAGATGGTAGTCGACATGTAAATTCAACGAGAAAGACAGGCCTTGACGGCAATTCAAAGCGCCCATTCTGTAACCTGCTTGGATGAGAGTTGTCGTATTTGTAATTACTTCTATTCCTATTTACCTCCCTTTTATCTAACTTATATACCAAACCCCATCTTCAACCGTAAACCCAATCAATTCAAGAACAAATAAACTCCGAAAGCTTTTTTCTTTAATCATCAAGCCAAACTCCAAGTAAAAATCATCCCAAACCAAATGAATCATTATACCAGGGGTATACATAACTTCGTAAAAGCGGCCGTGATAAACACCATCCCATCTACCAGTCGTTTATATGGGCAAATTATCAAAACATGCTTGAACTCCAAGCTCATGAAGGTATAAAACAGCATGACTTGTTGCAGGCAATCAAGTCTAAAAACGGGCTGCAAAACCCGTGAAGTCACTTCAGCATGTTCGACCTGATCAGGTTTCAAACTGCGCCGCGTGCTCCTCATGAGGAGTCATAAAACTCAGTCTCGGTCACTGTAACAGTCTGTTTGTTAGGTGCCTTAGAGGTTTCCTCATAGGGCTCCTCATTGCGCCGGCGAGGAACAGAGAAGCACTGAACGGCTCCCAAAATAGCGACAATAGCACTGCCGTACCAGGCCAAGGCAGAGCAATCTGATTTGGTACCGACCGTCCACAAGAATCCAGCGACGGGCGAAGCAATCATTCGGCAAGCAGCACCAGCACTTGCTGCTAAGCCGTTCACTTTTCCAAGAGCGCTTGGGGCTGGTGTAGCATCCTTGATGAGAATCATAAGAAGAGGATATAGTATAATGGAGAGGATGTTGCGGATGATGAGACAGCCGTAGATAGCGGGGTATAAAAGACTCTCAGGGACAAGGAGGAGCATGGGCATCAGCAAGTAAATGATAGGGTGGAGGACAGTGACGAGCAGGAAAAGGCGATAGGTTCCAAGCATCTTGACGGTCCAGGGGAAGACGAAAACCTGGATAAACAGAGCGATGCCGCCGTCGATTGCCAAGATCACGCCAACATCTCGTGGAGTCATGCCCAAGCCACCAGGCGAGTAGAAAGGAAAGATAGAGCCATGTTTGAACATCTCCACAGCACCAGCACGGCTGTCTTCGAAGAAGATGGGCAGCAAGTGGTCGAAGGTCATGGAATGGTAAGTGAAGATTGACAAGGCGGCAATGAAGCCAACAACACGGCAATTCCAGATCTTGATGGGAGCTGCAGCTGTCTTCTCATTTTCGATGTAGAGAGTATCCCAGTCCCCAATTGAGCCATCAGTTGAACCCTCAATTGTCTCTATCGCACCGTACGCCTGTGGCTCAATCTCGGTGGCCATTCGGTTGTTCATCATAAGGGGGGTCTCCTCACTGACATGGTATTCGCTGGTAGGAACGTGCTGGACCATGTCGGGATGGGTTTCTTCGAGGAGGAGGAAACCGAGCACAATGCTCACAAGCAGCAATCCTGCGCAGATGACGTTGGGCAGCAAGTAAGGTTGGCGCTGGAAAAGGCTGCCGACCGGAAAAGATTCAGGCCAAGAGTCATGAGGGTTGGCAAACATGCCACCGATAGACGGTCCAACAATGGTTCCAATGCTCCAGACAAAGGGCATGATGGAGTATGCACGTGCTAAATAAGATATTGGTCAGTGGTGGAAATTCGAGCAATGGTTTGCAGACTTACGCTCATGCTCAGGTTTGGTGACCAGCTCGCCAACCATGGTTTGGATAACACCAATATTTCCGTTCAGTAGACCACCGAGGAGACGGCCAATCAAGGCAATACTGAAGCTTGGAGCCACTCCCACTATCAACATGCTGATCATTGTACCTAGCAATCCAATGATCAAAACGGGTTTGCGGCCGATACGATCGGACAGGGCGCCCCAGTACGTTCCCATAACAGCTTCAGCAAGCGAAAATGCGGATATAAGGATGCCAGAGTAGAACGAAGCATCTTCTTGACGGCCTATTTCGAAGCGCTTGACAAGGGCCCAGGCGTATGGGAAGATGGATGTTAAAGCGATAGGCTCAGCGAGTCGAACAATGGCTTATTTAGAGTTAGCATAAATTTTGAAGTGTGATATCTGATCTTACCCAAGAGGAAGAGCTGCATGGCCGGGAATGCATCTGGGTCACGAGGACCAGCGCGAAGCATACCCATGTTGAGACTTGGGATGGATCACAGCCTGGATGGAAAGAAAGGCAAGTTGTCGAGCTTGTCAAAAAACAATCGCCGCCTCGATCCCAAATTGAGTGGGAAAATAAGCAAAGCGACGATTCCACGGAAGAGATATTTGGAGAAAGGCAGAAGAAGGGTGGTTATCGTAGCCCTTTGGAATGGAAGTGGCTGTCTTGTTGGAGAATTTGGAGAGCCAGTTACCAAGTTAGTACGGGATTTCACAAGGAAATCAGCAATAGCAGAATCACAACAGTTAAGATGGAAGAACAAGAGCCCAGACTGGAGATGGGAAGTGATTCAGACTTTGGATATGACAAGTTTAGTAGTTAGACAGGGAGAAAAATTCAGTCACGAAGGAAAGGAAAGAGGGTGGGAGATGGGATATTTCTACCAAAAGTCAGTCAAGCAAAGTGCAAGCGCAAGTTGGAGGAGAAGGAGAACAAGTGCATGCCCGTGTAAGTGCGGCGACACATTTTTGTGGGGGCCGAAATCGCAATTAAAGGCCAACATCAACCTTGGAACAAGCCCAGACACTTCGCTTGGTCGCTCGGCTCGCTCTCCCTGGCCGATAAGGTCCCGCCAACTTACCTACTCGGCGGAGAAAAAAAGAACCTGGCTTTTGCTTGCAGTGGAACAGTCGAAGCTTCGTTTGCAGCATGTGGGGCGGCCGCTAAGATTGTCCTTGTTGCTGGGAGTTGCATACACCATCAGGGAAATTGAACCAACAGTTGCATACGACAAGGCCCAGAGAAGAAAAACCGGACGGTAGAATAACACCGGGCGCGGCAAGAGTGAGACAAAGTTTGCCTGATCTCCCTTGACCTGTTTGTTGTCCTGGTGTCATGTGTCAGAGATAAGAGACTCTGAGCCATCTTCGAACAATTGGATGTTTCTGGTGTTTCCGTCCACTGCCGCGAGGATATGGCACTGAAACTCTACACCTTCTTGCCTCCCTGATATCGGTGCACCTGCATACATATGCATGCATCTCTGGTCTGAGACTCAGCCAGATAACCACACAATTCATGCTCTTCTCGTGCCACTGTTGACTGCAGGCATGAAGTGTCTCGTGATACAGGAAGACGAGACTGCTCCACGGACTATCGCAGCCAAATTTCCGGACTGTCGGCAGGTGGTCACTTGGACACAGAGAGTGAATGGAGCCATCGTTAGACGGGACCGATGGAGTCGTTGGCGTTGGCGTTGGTGTTGCTTCACTCAAGTCCGTGTCAAGTGTGTCTTGGTCTCCCAAGACGGAGGGGAACTCTCGGGAGCGTCCTGGATTCTGCATGCAGCTAACGGAAACATGTCACTTGATTGGGCGGCTTGACCGATGGTGGTCTGTGTCAAGGTTCCATCCCCAACGTCGCATGCATGTCGATTGCCGGTGGGCCACCCCGTAGGATGCCATTGAGGCCAGAGCTTCCTTCTAGCGTATGACTTTATCCGGTATCTGAGATTTGAGCGTATGTAATGATTGGCTGTGTCTTTTGTTTAGGCCCGCCACCCTGGAATTGAAAATTCTCTCTTCTGGTCGTTTCGTTCGTTGCATTGCATTCGTTTGTACATTTCCATCGGAGCCGATGACCGGGCATTGATGAGCGACTAGGTACGCAAGAGTGTCTCTGGTGTTGAACCATTCTTTTCGTAACATTAACTGAATAGCCGCGTAACGACTCAAGCCATGTCTTGGCTTGAATAAGGTACACAATTCTGTACATACTTACATAGTAGAGCCGCTATGAAGATTCAGTTGTTTTAAGTCCATGAAAGCTCCAGCGACAAGAAAGAAATTCGATCACCACATCATATCCTGACAAAAGAAACGATATTCATTATCAACACACTCGCAGAAGTTTTTTGTTTGTATGCGGTATTGGTGACTGTGTATCCATTTCATCATCTCCTCACTCTCACGGACTTGAGGAGATCCCAAGTAATCCAGATGGTTCCATGCAACTCAACCGCGGACAAGGTCCTTGCGACCACAACCCTGCGTAATACCGGCCAAGCTCCGTTACTGGTGGATTCAAACTCTAGCATCTCTGGAAAGCGAGATACGAACTTGAAAAAGGATGCGGCTCAATAACGTCAGTGGCAGATCAGGTTTCAGGTTCGAGAATACGACAAAAGCAATAATTCACGACCTCCCGACATCATTGACTACGTATTGACTATCCTTTCAGTGGCGCGCTAAACAACGTTCAAAATAAACAACGTAGAAGGACACATGTCAACAAAAGCGACCCTAAGAAAAGAACATCCCGAGAACCGGGTGCATCCATTGAGCGGATAAGGGGACCTTGAGGCTAATAAAGCAGAGAGAGAGAGAGAGAGAGAGAGAGAGAGAGATTAGATGGCTGCAGGTCAATTGAAAGCGGAAAGGGTGATGTTGCTGC